ATGAAAATCAATCGACTATTAGTCGAATGGGTAAAAAGTCGGTGACTAGCCTATATCGCATGATAATTTATGATTATGAGTGTCATGTACTCATATTAAAACCTTATCAGTTATAATTTTGAGTTTTGTAAATTGTAATTGTGTTTATGTCATTACTCATTAGTTCAGTAGTGAATTATTAGTCATTACTTGTTTTTAATTATTTTGCTGTAGTGTTTTATACTATTAGAATGGTTAATTTTAAAGTAAAGGCAATTGTTTGCCATTAATAACGTCGAGGAACACGAAAATCATAATATATATTATTAAAGGCAGATTCGCAATCCAGACAATGTGATAGATCTTTTTACATTGTCAAATCGTTTATTTGTAAACAAATTTAGGCTTACAAAAGACGTTGTTAAAGAATTGAGTGACCAATTAATATATTAATAGTAATTTAGTACATTTTGTAACTTAATATGTTGTTACTTGTTTGTAATGAATGAATGGCTTGTTGTAATGGTTTGAACTAATCGAATAGGAAGTATGAAGTATGAACGGTGAATCGTGATTTTAGAATAATAGGCCAATAGGGACTATTGACTTATATAATACATTTATTGTTAATAAACATTCAGTGATAAAGGAATAAAATAATAATTTATATAATTTTCCAGTTTATTTAAGATTAAAATCTAGATTTGTGTTTTTACCATAGTGGTTCATTCGATAAACTTTATCGCATTCAATAAGTGATAAAATCTTATCGATTTCAATTCAAGAATACCAATTGTATGTCGCATGCGATAAAAATTTGTCACAGTCGATAAAATGTATGACTTATATCGCATACGAGATTTAGTCGTATGATTTCAAAAATTGACCCCCTGTATTCGTATGTTTCCGTTCGATATAAATTCGCACCCAATGTGAGCGGCGCGGCCTAATACAGGCAAAGTAAAAAGTATAAAATCATACAAAAAAGTAATTTCTAAGTACGAATTTCAATATTTGACGAATATATTTTGTATTTATGACAGCTGGTATTTTGGAATTGTCATATATATAAAAAAAAATATATAAAATATAAACATAAATAAATATATATGTAAATATAAGTACATATACATATATATATAAATTTTGCACGTGTAAATAATTGTATTGATTTAATCAAAATTAAATTATTGTACGTGCAAACGTATACTGAAAAGATCCACCTAAACCATTATATACCTACACGACGACAAATAAACAATGTACATAAAAGTTTGTACCTTGAGAACGAGTGGTTTGTATTTGGAAAAATAATCCAATACGCACAAGAAATTGTTCGGCGGCATAAAAAATTGCGGAAAACTTGATGCGTGTCGGAACAACGCGCGCGTCTGTGCACACAAAATACTTCCAAGGGCACGTTTAAAAATATCAACATTCGACCTCGCAATAACGTTTTTGAATCGCACAAGGCGATTTCTCGAAATATTGATATTATATAGTATTATATTATATTGTAGCAACGAGTCTGTCTGTACATACGTAAATGCATTCGATTGTCAAATATAACACTAAAACCAGTGTACAAAGTTATACGAGCGCGCCAATTCAGTTGTGCAGATGTTTAACAGCCAAGACGGGTTTATCCGATAACGGTACATATTATGCGTTACGCAGTATACACTCGTTTAAATGTGTACGTACCTACGCGTTAAGCGGAGTTCTAATATAATCGATGACCAACGAACTATTATTACTTTATTAGAAAACAGGAACGGATCCAGACCAAGATTACGGATAGAATGCTTTTTAAAATTCAAAGGTTACTCTTTAAGATTATCCGTTTGCTGTTTCAAACTATATACTTTATTATTTTATAAAACGTGGCTGGTAAAACTTCTAAAAATTCTCGATTTCTCATGGGTTTTTTTTTTTTTAACTTGAGTTTTTTGCACACACAAATACTATACGTGATTAATCATTTAAATTGTATGTAACGAACTTAAAGGTTTCAAAACACAATTATTTCGTTGATCGGTCGTTGAAATAGTTTCACTTTCGGAATAGGTTTTCTAGAAACAACTTTTACATGGCAGTGGCAGCGGTACATCGTTCTTCTTTCGTTTAACGTCTTCCATCGTTAAATAGTTAACACAACGTAAAACTAGTCTGCAACGCCACTTTCAAAATACAACCAAACGGCTTATAAAGTTTTATTATATTGTGCGAAATAACCACTACTGCTGAGATCCGTTTTCACGTTCGTTAATTGTATTACAACATTTTTCAGTACGATAAAATATTATATTTTCAAAATCTTTTATTTTAACGTACGATTTCACGCAATTTCGATGATTTGGACCAAACATGTAAAAACATGAATGCATTAGACACACGAGTGTACGCCACATACTGTTTTATATATTTTATAAAGAGAGCATTAAAAGAAAAAACTTTATGACCCAAATATATGCCCTAAAAAATTAGTGTATTGTAATTCAATGATCCACCATGTTCATTGTTATAATTATTATACGCGCACTGTGGTTATAATAAATTGTGATTTAACAACATCATTAAACAGGAAGATTACACAAATCGTTTTGTATATTTATTATATTCTATACGAGATAACACGGTCGTTTCACACACCCGTGTGATAAGAAGAAATACTTTCGGAGAACGCACGAGTTAAGTTTTATTTTTATTCTTCAACAGAAAGTATAAACAATTGGTATCGCGAAAATCGCGTCATCGCACGTCCCGTTCTTAAACCCGCTCTCGTAATTGTAATACAGCGTGCGAATACATACGACTTCTTTCAACGGATACGGTCTAACGTACGAAAACAGTTGGCAAAATGGCGAGCATCGGGGAAGAGGCGTCACGGGGGAAAAACATGAGTAATCGCGGTCATCTTTATGGGCGAACGCGCGATTACAAGCGACAAGATCGTCACCGGTATGAGAGAACGGGTCGATGCGGTTTGTGCGCGCGTGCAACGAGCTTCTAGTACGAGCGTGTGCGGCGCGAATGGTTACGTGGTCCGAGGTGAAAGAATGATTTATACAAGATCGAGGTTTTAACCTTGGCATGAGACGTGGTCGTTGTCGTCGTCATATTACGAAACCCATATTATTATTATTATTATTATTATTATTATATTATTATTATTATTATTATAAGTACGACGAACGCGTATATCGTTTCGTACTATATATAGGCAACGGGCGGATGACACACGCGTAGTTTTCATTATCACCGACGGGACCGCAGCATTCTACGTTAGGTTATTATTACTGTACAAGTATTTATTGTACGCTAATCATATTTGAAACATTTAACTTGATAACCGCAAACGCGCAAATGTAAACACGTGTAGACGACCATACGAAAATGCACGAGTGCTTCACGCCAGTGAATGCGGTTGGCATCCGCGTTACTGCGCATGCGCTAGGACTTCCGATTATCCGCGACTCGGCACCGTCAGTGCACGCGAAATCATTATCTCATATCACATAATCTTATCATAATTATCATTATTTTCAAAGCAAGAAAGCCATATTTATTTTATGGTAATAAACTTTTTTAATTCATTCAGTTAAATAGGTAAAAAATTCAAGACTGTCTTATTTCAATTTGTGGTGTTTTTGAACTAAATAAAATCTAATTAGAGTGTGATATGTTGAGTAAAACAGCAATATTTAGAGTTGTGTTAGTATTACAATTTAGAACACTACTGGAAAAAAAAATTTTAACTTCAAAGGCTCATAAAAAATTGTTTGACTTTCCAGTTTAATGTAGGAAAACTTATGAAGAATCTTTTATTATTTAAATAATATAAATAATAAAATAATAATGATAATTATAGTTGAGACTCCGTCAGATTCCAAAGTCGTAATTTCAATTTTTGATGGACAAGCTTTATTTATTTTATTTGTCTCCAGAGATTTGGTCATTCACCAACTTTCTTCATTCATGATCCGTAATAAATTTTAAACAAATTACTCACATTACTTAAGTATATAATCAAAACTTTATAAATAATAAAATAATAATGATAATTATGATGAGATTATGTGATATGAGATAATGATTACATGCGTATTGATGGTGTCGAGTCGCGGATAATCTAGTTATAGCGCATGCGCAGTAACGCGGATGCCAACCGCATTCACTGGCGTGAAGCATTCGTGAAAATGCGGTCACGTAAAGCGAAGATTAGCGGCACGTTTAGAATATTTCCAGGAGATATTATCAAAAATATCGTTACCAATCTCACTCGAAACAGCAGTCATGTGAACAAACTACGAATACCGATAAAACCATAACATTAAAAATTCATGTTTTTTGCTTTACGTTAAATTTTAATACACATAATTCATAATTAATATGTATTGGTAAATTATATTTCTATGCATTAAAAATCAGACAATTATCAATTAAATTTATAACAATGCGCAATGTATTTTAAAAATAGGGTGGTAGAAACCCCGGAACTAGAAAAAAGGTCAACGGGAGATTCGCTATGTAACGCGAATACACAGCACGAGACAGTGCGAAACATTTATACACATTTTACGTAAATAACTATTCTACACAAGATAACAACAAGAACGTTATATTTTTGTTATACAACTGTGTAGTAAATAGAAATATAGTAAACGTCAATTAAATTACTAATATTTTAATCACAATATAAACTTATATTAAAGTGCCTAGAGATAAAAAAAATGAAGTGTATGTACTAATTTTTTCTTTTATATGTTATATATATATACAAAACAAGAATCATGAGATGCGTTTTTTACAACAATATAATGTACATTGGGATGGGTAGAATCATAAATATATCATTATATATAGTATTATATTATTCATAATATCACAGCTAAACCATATTCAACGTGAGATTCGAAAAAATTGATCGACTTAAACTAAATTGTTTGTTACATACTTATACGTCTATTACTAATATTTATACACATAACAAGTGTAGTTATTATCATTCAAATATTTACCTTTGATGCAGTGCTGCTCTCACAGTACCCATGTAGATGGATAAATTTTTAAATACGCTTCACGTAACAAAAACTGAAAAAAAAAAAATTTTGAACATAAAAAAAAAATCGTTATTTTGTATTATTTTTTTTTTTTGGTATACATTCATATACCAATATTAATGATATTGGTTTATATAAATTGTAATTTTTTCCTCGATAAAATGTTTGAAACAATCGTCTAAAATCAATATAATTCACCTTTTAAAATTGGCCACAAGAACATACATTTAAATGTAGTAATACATTATTAGGTTGGGATTTTTTACTTGGTGCCTAAATTGAAAATTACACCATCGAAGCAATAACTGGTTAGTGGTTAATATCGTTTATTTAACGTTACTTATTGCATGAACGTGTTTTTTTCACTTCCAATAAACTATTATTAGGGTCAAGGTTAGAGAGTAGAATGATTAGATCACATCGCACAAACAGATTAAAATGTTTATTATTTTAAAATTAACGCGGTGATAAGTATATAATTATAAGTATTAACTAAACGTGAGTATATCCATACTAGGGTGGGTCGCTTTTTAATTTTTTTTATTTTTTTGTAAGCACAGCGATAAAAAAGTGCCAAATTGAGGTCTAATTACGTAATAATTACGTATGTAAGATTTCAATTTCTTTAAGGATGTTTAACTACCTCCGGATTGTCGTCAAAGTTTCAAGTTTTTAATACTTATATTTTATCGGGAAAAAATAATCTGTTAATTATCTAAATGAAGCTATTACGTATTTATCTTATAATTTAATACTATTATCATTGTAATAGCAAAAAATAAAATTAAATAATAAATCTAAACGGTACACTTGGATTTTATCTTTACGATACGTAAATGTCATAAAAATGATATCAACGAAAGATTATTGCCGGCCGTTTTGGTTATTGTTGAAATTTGTATCTATAGCCGGTCCCACACGATTCGTGTACTTTGCGAGCGTATAATCGGCGAGTGTACTTGCCAAGTTTGTACGATGTACGATGTTTGTAATTATGTTGCTTCTACACGACACGTGTGCTCGCCGATTATTTGTCAATTGTATATACTTTGCTCGTCATCGCCAATGCTCCTACACGACTCGTGTTATAAACTCGTGTGATAATAGTCAATAAATAATAGTCTATCTTGGGGGAAAATCCAAGATTAAATTTCTTATCAGCACGAGTCACTCGTGTTATATCCGACATCGACGAGAAACCGCGAGTGACTCGGCGAGTAAAAATAATCGTCTTACTTGACGATTAAACACCTCCTACACGACTTGTAAAGCATCACGATTGACGATTATTCGCCGAGTACACGAATTGTGTGGGACCGGCTTATTAGGTAAACAACCAAGGTGAAGGAATCATTGCCACTCGACTAATGATAATCAGAAGACGTTACTTGTTATGACTTTTGTATTATTTTATATCAATTATTACTGCCATAGATAATTGGTGAAGTTGTGTTGTGACCGACGACCGTTTGCGCGTTTGAAAGTATGGAACATAATCGTAAAGCTTGGAAATGTCCCATGTTTGGTAATTCTTGTGATATAAAGATAATATATAAAAAGTTTTATGAGTGGATCCGACACAAAATAAGTATGAAAATGAAACTAAAAAAGAACCAACATATAAGGAAATAGATACTATTATTATTTCAAGAGTTGAAAATATATGGACAAAAGCTTCTATTCCTATCGTCGAACGCAAGTAAGTAAAAGCAGTGTTAAAAACATATAATTTAAAATACAAAAATGTACTTAAATCTCGTCCTAAAATACCAGATGAAAAATTAATAGAGTTTCATAGCAATAGTAGAGCTTTATTTAATATTTCAACATGTAAGTGTAAAGATATTAACAATTGTATTTGTTCAAGAATAAAAATAATACCAATGAGAGAACAGAACTTTTTAATCGATCAACGTACATCGAGAAAAATGGTAATAGGTTCAATAGATATAAACACGACAATTCAAATTAGAAATACTATTAAAAGAAAGTTGACGAGACAAAAATTGTCGTATAATTCTCAAAAAGAAAGTACAGAAAAGCTCAATATTTCAATTTTGTCTACATCTAGTGATTATGATAGTGAAGGTGATAATATACTACAAAATAAATCACGACCCCTAAGACAGTTTCTAACTAAATCGGCTATTAAAATATTTTACGCTTTATTATCAAACCTATATGGTAATGTAAACATATAATGTTTCAGACAGAGCTGTGGAATGTGGGTGGCCATTGCCTCGACGGTATTACATTATGAAAATTGTGTTAATCTGGAAATTATTGACAAAAATAAGCTTCAACAAAGCCTAAAAAAACTATACAGTGTATTTGAGCACAAGAAAATTTTTTAAAAATAACTGCATTATATTTTGACGGTCGAAAAGACAAAACATTGGGTAATATAGAGAAAGATGGACCATAGTGTCGATAAATTATTCTGGAAGAACACATTTCTTTGATAAAATAACCAGAATTAACATTTTTGGGTTATATCACACTAACTTCTAAATATATTGAACAGGCAATCACCGTTCACTTCTTGGAGAGAGGATTATCAATGGAGTGTTTATTGCGATGTTTATTTCTACATATTCATGATTCGACATCGGGATCCCAGACGTTTACAGGCGAAATTGGCAAACACTTAGAAAGTTGTGAAAAAAAATCTATTGTTCAATTTCGATATATTTCTTTTTAACTGCCTGAGCTACTGAGATATGAGTTCAGATCAAAAATATTTATATAGAACATTTTCCGGGGTAATAACAAATATGTTTCCTAATGATTTAAAAAACAAATCGCCTGGCAAAATGTCTCATGCCCGATAGCTCAAACGAAGTAACCGAATTATTTGTCTTTATGTCTCGATAGATAATTCTAGCTAATAATTCTAGCAATCTATGTTTTCAAAATGTACGCATCAACTTGGTTTTCAATCAAAACTCATCCTACATGTAAAGATAGAGCACGTCAGTCACCCGCGGAAGCTTATCTCTACGTTTAGATACTTAACAACTGAATTCAGAACTATTATAGATTCTGCAATACAAATAAACAGTTATTTTGCTCACCCCGAGAATTTATTACTTGTAATTTTGACAGTCCCACGAAAAAATATTCGAGAATTAGCTGCTAGTCGTATTTTGAAAGCCCACAATATAAAAACAAAAAAAGCCAAATTGTTCAAACTTCCATATTTAAATTTTAATGCATCATCTTACATCGATCTTATTGATTGGCAACAAAACATCACTGAGCTACCAATTTTAAATATAATACCCGATGAAAATATTCAATTGCTCGTCGAACAAAAAGGCGAAGGATTATATTTTATTACATAAATAATGTTTTAAATTTTTCAAAAGAAGATTCCATATTTTTAATTAAAAATATTTAAACTTTTAAAACCGTGATTTTTCAAGACTGATCCGGAGGCAAAAAATGATAATATATTGATACCAAATTTTTACAAGTAGTTTATAGATGTCAATTGTCACCTATTTATTGCTATGCCCAATGGAAATTAATGTATTTATTTTTTTGCTATATAAAAGTTACCCACCCAAATACATACATCTGTAATATACGTACCGATTTTTATATGAACGTTGTACAACAAATAAATGGTATTATACTAGTTATTACGCATTTTTTATGATTGGAACAATCGCAATTAAAATGTACGATAGACGGTGACGGCAACGTGGTCATTTTCGATTTTGGTGAAGAGAAAGAGAAAATATTTTGTGAAAATCCCCAATACATGTAATTTATTATTAGTGTAACATATTTTATAGCGTATATCATTTAACCTTAAACTAGACAATTATTATATTAGTATTATATTAAGTATACTAGGTATAATATAAATACAATAGACGCGCGTGCAAACGAGCAAGAAACGCGATCGGTATCTTATTAGCAGGATCCCATATTTGGAGGCGGCGTGCGACGACCAATGACCCCCGCGAACCGCGGGAACTTACATTAAAAAAAACCCAACTAGATGGTATTTTTATCGAACAATGAAATCCATTTAATTCGATCGAATATTTTATTTGGAAGATGAATTTTAATCCGAACGCCTTAAAATTACAAATATAAATGTACAATAATTGACGGAGTACAGATTGCACTGGGTCACACAGTTTTACAGAATAAAAGTATACATGTAAGTGTAAATTATGGTTATTAATTTGAAAATGGAACATAATAATACTATAAAGGTCGATATCGGTTGGTCGGCCTACGTTCGTAGATTAAATATGCATGCGGAGGAACAAATAAAAAAACCCGTAAATTGACGTGACTGTGATATAAATACGTAATAAAATAATAATAATATATAGCAACGATAAATCTTGTTTTTGCCTAAAATTTTCGTTTACGATGTAATTTTGTTATATATTTTACTAAGCGACACGACATTGATAGTACTTATAAAATACTCATTACTGCACGTGAGTGTATACATGAGAGACGACCGCGATCATTGTCACCGTCGACAATTAAAGACTAATAATCAAGGCTGTGTAGAATAATAACTGATTAACTATGACAAAAATATAAATTTATACATCGTAGTGATAGTAGTCACACCATATAATTATAGCATATAGTTTTAATACAATTGTCATTATTACGTATTTACTATAAAATATATATTGACATGTATATGCACAATACCTCATCTTCTGAAGCGTATATATGGTAGTGAAAAATAAAAATCACAATCGATTGTGTAACATAAGATTTTATTTAGTATACACAAATAATTTCTTCGTGTAGAAATAAGCGATACGGACAAAAGAAACCGAGGAAGTAAGTAAATATTTCATATATACATATATATACACATACAGATATATATTTGCATGTACGTACTGTGTAAAAAAAAATAATAACATAATATGTACATAGCACAAGTTGACGATTACTTTTTTTTGTGCATTCAAAAGGAACGAAATGTAACGGGAACGTCAATTGTTAACGTGATAGGCACCGTCGTACGGGGATTTACGGAAAGCA